AGTTGCTTTAAGTGTCCCTCCACGTAGGAAGATAAGAAACCAAGATTTCCGATGAAGAGGAGCCAGTGACGTGGAAATTCTGCCTCGTTCGTCTCTCCTCTCTCTGCTGCGCGCCTTCTGCTCGTCATTCTCTCTTGCTCCCCCTGTCTGCGTCTCTCACTCCATCGTCTCGTCTCCTGCTCTGCCGTAGTGAGCTCCTTCTTCCTTCTGCTCTTCTTCATCCTTCGGGCTTTTTTTTTGCCGCCTTTCTCCGTCCCCTCTTTACCCATCCCGACCGTCTCTCCATTGCGGTATAGTGTAGTCCGAATCGCACCCGCGCGCCTCCCTCGCGAAGACCCCATCTCCATCTAATCTTTCGCTTCACCTCTCTGACTTACTCTTTGTCCGCTCTCCGCTCTTTCCATCCCTGCCCGCTACAACACCTCTGCCTTCGCGCGACCCTGCACCGCTCGGTTCATTCGCTCTCTTTTCCTAGTATTATATTCCCTAGAAATTCGTCCGAGGCAATCAAGTGTGTAAACTCCCTTCCCGCCTCCCCACTTGTTCTTACCGCGGCGCTGGATAACGTCTCGAGGAAATATTTCAGGTGTCCGTACAGCCTGCGAACTTTCATCAATTCTTAGGGAAACCTTCAACAGCCAGTGTTCTCAGTACGCGGGTAATGTGTGTGTACGGCAAGGGAGCTCCCGGTGTTGGTTATTTAACTGTAATCATTATCAACACTTATCTAGATTGTTAAGTGTTTTGTGGTCGCGGCTAACTTTGGCAATGCGGCCGAGCAATAATAGCGACTGCCCTAAAACACGGTGAGGTGCCGGAAGATTGGTGGAAGATGGAGGACCGAGTAGATTAGCTGATTTTGCGTCTACCGATAAACGCCACTGATAGTACAGCGTGTTACGGAGCGGGCGCGACGCGACGAAGGTTCTTTGCGGCGCGGCTAAGAAAGAGCCAAGAATATTTTCTTTGTGTTTTTTGTCCTGTTGGTTAGTATTATGCGCTGGAAGGGAATTACTGAAGGAGACAGTTTAAGTCGTGGTGGGTGACACTATCTCCCTCGAAAACATTCTGCAGCACCGATTTTCGGCGGAAGTATTAGGGGGTTATTTTTTTGGAGTTGAATTGATGTGAGCTACTTGGTTTTCCGGGTTTGGTATTACACACAACAGGTGGATGGGCAGCATATCCTCCCTAGCAATAGCACAGGCAATGGGAGGTTCGAGTTGGCAGTGTATGGCCGCCCTCGCCTGGCCCCACTCGAGTTATACACTGAGCCAGTTCACAAATTGGCATTTTTTTTTTCAGTTGCCGATTTTGCATTATCTCAGCTACAAATGCCTACTGATGTGGGCCATCTATTAAATTACCTCTCGTCGACCACCCTTGTACTTGTTCACCTTCCCTAATTCCCCACCCCATCCGGGCCGCCCCCATCGAGCCCTTTCTTTCCTCCCCCCTTTTGTTACTCGCAAACTAACATTACCTCGCCGTTCCTTCATCATTCATTTTTTATGCACATGTACGTCTTGCTGGTCTCGCAACGCAAATCTTTTTCTCTTGTAGACCCGTCCCATGTTCTGGGCGGTTATAGTTCCCTTCCTCCCCGTGAGAGAGGACTAGCCAACACTTCTCTTACGCATTCCATCTTTCGTTCCCAGCCTTAATACCACAGCTCTCTAGCCCATTCCCTCTCTCTCCATCCCTCCCCTCCTCTCCTCCTCCCCATCTCCTGCACTGTCCAGGTTGGCAATCCTACGCTTCCACCTTTCAGGTACACCGCTTTTTCTCTACCCCACGCTGCGGTTCTGTTCGACAGGTTGACACTTCCCTCTTCAGGCGCCCTCCTCTCTCTCCTCACCTCTCGTCTCTCCACTCTCTGCTGTCTCTCATCGGTCTGTCGTGGGCTCTCGTCGCTCCTTCTCCTCTGCTGTCTCTTCCGATCTTCTCTCTCGTGCGCCGTCTTCTCTTCCTCCGCTCGGCTCGTATCATCCAGAGTTAGGCGAAACCGACTGTACCCGGTTATGCAAATCGAATCAACGCAGAATGTTCCTCAGATACGTCTCCCAATCTAACGAACGAAGGCTTCTGCTTGCACCTTAAGCCCTGAGACACGAGTCTGCAAGCGTCTCCATCCTCTCCACCATCCTCCGGAATGCTTGCTTATTGGATCCGCGCCCGCAATAAAATGTGTAAGCTCATTTTTTCAAGTGGGAATTAACGAATGCAGTTAGGATCAACTGATAGGTTTGGTAAACTAGAATAGAGAAGGGGAGGGATAAAGGGAGTCTGTGAATAAGGCCGGGGAGGATGTTTCGTAGATGGAGATAGATAATTGGTGGAGGGGCAAGCTTTTGTGACGTCACACCCACTTGGCTTTTGCTTGCCGTGCTTGATTTAAATGCCGGGCGCGATTGACTACTGTACAACGATCGCAGCCGCTGTTACATCGTCGGTGGTCTTTTACGTATACACCTTGCGGACGACGCGGGGGGGAATAGAGAGGACGCGATATGTATAATTCAGCCCTTGATGAGGTCCTGACGTTATGCGTCCTGATACTGACTAATTAGGCCGTGCCAGTGCGCTCTGTGATGAGCGTTCGGTAGCGTGCTCAACGCGCCCGTCGCGGCCATCCAGGCGGCATCCCAGGCCGGGGAGCCTCCCCTAGCAGGTTTTACCGTTAAGACCAGTTGAAAGTCGAAGACGTCTTTCGCCGGTCCACGAGGAGGGCTGCACAGAGAGAGCGCTGTGAAGTGGCGGAGCTTTGGCCAGCGCCCTGTTTGCGCGCATGTCCGGGCACCGCACTCGGGACGTTTAGGGACCGGAGAGGGACGACGAGAGGGAGACGGGAGAGGAAACGACATGTGAGGCGAGAAGAAGAGGAAGAAGGGATCACTCGACGGAGGAAGGAGCATGGAAGAGGATAGCAAAGAGATGCCAGCACGCCGCCCTCAGGACAGTCTCGGTACACGGCCTGTCCCCCTCCTGTGGCGAGAACCACCGGGCGCGGCAAGGTGCGACGTGCCCCACGGCCGTGATCACGTGGGCAAGGTGTGACTGCTAAGAATGATCTCTGTGCATAGTCTGAATTACCAGAGAGAGGGAGCGTCGAGGGTTTGGACTGTGGGCCCGAGCGCGCTTCCGTCTCTCTTTCTGGCGGCCCCATCTTTATTCTTCCCCTTCGGGTCGGGCGGACGGGGAGGAAGCGCGTGGGCGTCGCGTCGCCCCGGCTGCCAGTCGTCGGCGGCGGGTCTGGCGTTGTCGTTGACAGCGTGGAGGGTCGCCGTCCAGCTGGAGGCCAGGGTGAGGCCAGGCCGGTGGTCGCTGTTGTTAGCGCTAACCTGGTGTCGATGTGTTGATTGTGTTTCTAAATGTTAGAGGATATGCTTCAGGTAATAGATCTCATGATTGTGAAAAAAATAATAAGATTCTGTTGCAATCGCGAGGATGAGGTGTGATGATAACCTGCCGCATCCGGACGGTGTGCGTGATCGAATGGGAAGAATGTATAATGGTACGGCTTATCAAATTTACGTATGTTTTATTAATCAGTGTAGCCGCAAATGGAATACTGGGGATTAATGGAAAGGTCGTTTAGTAATGGGCTTGTGCTACGGAATTGACCCTACTGAGCAGCGGCAGTATGCAATGGTCAGAGGGTATTTGCAGCGGGTAAGCAATTAGGTAAGTGGGCTCATCGTTGTGGGCCTTACACGCAAGGGGTAGCAATTAGGTAATGCTTTGTGGCCTTACACCAGGGATTTATTTTTATTATGTAAATTCACTTGTATCATTCTTTCGCATTTTATTTTTGTATGTTAGGTAGCACAGAGTTATTTTATTCATATTTTGAAAGCAAAGTATTTTCTCAAGTTGGGAAATTATAGTAGACTGATGATTTGCTGTCTTTCATATAGTCTCAAATATAGACATTATCTCTATCTTATCCCTGTTGTAAAGGGAGCTGTAGAGAGTGTCAGAATGAAAATGCTGGTATTTAAGATTATCCATGTACATTAATAGACTATATTCTCTATGCCTAGATTACTGATATTTGCATAATTAATCTTTGCTAAGATTTCTATTATGCCAAGATCACTTCATAGCTCCTGCTACAGATACCCCTACTGGTCATAAATACCTTAAGTCTGGATCTGTAAGAAACCTATAAGTAGATAGAAAATGGGCAATCTTGTGGATTAGATAATGAAAGAGATAGAGGGAACGGGTTTATTAATGGCTTTCTTAATTAAAATTGCAAAGCCAGGAACTCTGAATAGTATTTGGAGGTTTTAACCAGTTTAGGTTAAGATTCAAGTTTATGGGAAAAAATGGACAAAATGGTATCTTTGGAAGTATAAACCTTTTGCAAAATAATCCTCTCAATTGGTAATAATTTTAAGGCATTTCATTTGTGAATTTAATACGATAATGCACTTCATAGGCATGGAAAGAAGACACCGGCGAAGAGGAAGGAAAGGGAGGGAACGAACTGAGAGAAAAATCCAAAGGGGAAACATAACACAGATGTCAACCAAGGGGATTGCGGAGGCAGAGCCTCGGAGGTGACAGTTATAGTGCAGTAAGTATATAATCAGAATGATGGGGGAAGGAAGAAGGGCTGGAACTGAATGAGAAAATTAATAAGAGAAGAAGGGGAAGAGAGATTAACTAGTGAGAGAGAGTGGAGGTCCTGAACCATGCATGAAGGGTAGGAGAAGATATTGAGATGGTCCTTAATGGGCACTAAAGAATATCTGAGAACGGGGCTTGAGTTAGTTGATAGAAAAATCCAAACAAACTAGAGGGGATAGAATATTGAATATGGTTTGTGGAAGCAATTGGAAGAAAAAGAAGAAGAACGAGAAAAAGAAAAAGAAACGAAGATAATTTCTATTAGCAAACAAGAGGAAAGAGGACGATGAAGGCAGAAGAAAGTTTGACGACCCTTTTCACGTTTCCTTATCATTTCGTCAGTCCAGTTGGTTCTGAGCACTGGA